AGGAATATGATATGGTTCACTAATTAACTACTATAATTAATTAGTCCGGAGATAACCTAAGGCTGTCATAAATTATGCTTGGAGATTAATGCATCTCAAAGAACTTAGGTTAAGTCGTTGGTAAACTCTTCTATAAATAACATGACTCTCTTTATCTGTTTGTAATGTGAGTCAATACTTGGGTGCTACATTTACAATTAGAATAATAGGAACCATACATAAATAATCATTTGTTATTAATTAAGATATTAAATGTATTATTGTACAAGTAATTGGTCTAAGATTTGATTGATATGTGAACATCTTCTTAAGAAAATTATCTTTTTATTTTTAATAAAAATTATAAAACATGAACCTTAAGTAAATAATAATTTAGACCAATAAGATTGGTGAAATGCTGCAATAGCATTATCACAAACAGCCTTAAGGCACAGAAAAACCAAAAAACAAAAAAAACAAAAAAAAATTAAATAAAATTAAAAAAAGGCCCTTTGTGTTGCTCCTTCCCTTCTTGTCCTTCCTATGTGTACCATTTCGAGCTATCCTCTTCCCAACTTCCTTCTCCATGGACTTGAGAGGAACTTAGCATGCATAGACTGGCACAGGTGGCTCAAACGTAGGACGGCGGCCTCGGGAGATTGACGACGTCGCCACAGATCAGCGCCTTTTCCGGCATGTTGTACTCGTCCCTCAAGGACCTCGCCGGCGACAACACGCTGATGTAGAGCTGCTGCCCCAAGTAACGCCTCTCCCAGAGCTCCGACCGCAGGTTCCACATGCCGGCGTTGTCGAACGTCAGCATGATCGCCGACCACGACCGCTGGTACACCTGGATCGTGTGCCGGCTCACCGTGTCGAGAAGGTTGTAGGTTTTCCGGCTCTGCGGCGTCCACTTCCCGTGTCCCATTCTGTAACAACAGCATCAGTTGTGTCTGTGTGTTTGTTTGTGTGTGTTGGGTGGCGCAAGTACTGATCTGTAGCTCACCCGACGGGGAAGAAGGAGTAGCCGTCTAAATGGTAGGCTTGCATGCTCCGCTCGGGGTTCTCGAAGATGATCTCGATGAAGTTCCGGAAGGTGGCGTTCATGACGTTGGGCGCAATCTTGATGGGGGCGGTGGAGGCGGGCGGGTCGTCGCCGATGATGTTGTACTTGAACACCTTGTCGGCGATGCCGAAGTACTCGGCGAGCTTGAGCGGCGTGGCAGTGTCCTGGTGCGACACGGCGTTGAGCGCGTAGCGCCGCTTCCCGTTGACGTGCCCCACCGAGTTGACGAGCTTGATAGTGCGAGTGATGTCGATGCTGCCGTAGTGGTAGGAGCCCTGCGGGTTGGGGCGGGCGGCACTGGCGGTGAGGTTCCACCGGAAGGACCGCCACTGGTTGAACGACCAGGCCCAGCCGACGGGCGCCGCGGGAAGGTCCTGCGACGGCGGAGTGTTGGAGCCGGCGTACCGGATCAGGCCGGACGCCGTCAGCGTGTACTTGGTGAAGCGGGAGGAGGCGACCATGTAGTAGTCCTTGGGCGCCTGGGTAGCCTCGACTAGCGCAGAGAGGCACTGCCCGACGTGGATGTCGAGGGATTCGTACACGTTCTGCATGGTGTGGGAGCCGTCCATCTCGACGAGCTTCATGGAGTGGGACTGGATGCGGAAGTTGAGCGTCACCTTCATGCCGACGTTGCAGATGCGGTAGCGGTAGGTCTTGCCGGCCTCCATGGTGAAGAGCGGGGGATCGTCCTTGCCGGTAGAGTCCTTGCCGGAGCGGCCGTTGATGAGGACGCCAGCGGGGCGACCGATGGTGCGGCCGGAGTCGAGGAGCTTGGCGAGGATCTTGTGGCTCTTGGTGTACCAGTCGCCGATGAGGACGGTGTAGTCGTCGGCGGGGTCAGCGAAGGGGACGGGGATGAGGAGGCGGCTATTGACGCGGAGGCCGCCGAAGCCGCCGGCGGCCCGATGCATGCCCAGGCTGGGGAAGTAGACGAAGCTGCCGATCTGGTCCTTCACCTGGAAGTGGTATGTGTAGTTTTGACCCGGCGGGATGGGGCAGTTGCTGCCCGCCGTGCCTTCCTGCCACGAGTTCTTCCTCTGCTGGATCCCATTCCTGCCATGCATATATAGGATACAACTGAGAAGAAGAAGAAGAATACCTCACCGACAAAGAAGTAGATATATGTCACATAATCCTTGGATTAGTCACAGTGGCAAATTTTATTATATGATGTTAGAGCAGTACTTCACACACAAACACAAAACAAAAAGAACAATTCATGCATCAACACAAAATAAATGCTATCAACCCTCCTCAGTGGTTACAATTTTTTCTCCTTTATGATACAAGATGAGGAATATGACGTTGTTCTCTTGGAACAAGGACAGTATATTATTGCATCAGAAGAACAGTATATAGTAGTTTACAGGACCTGTATTCTCCGACCTATGTACATACAAATCAAAGCATGAAAAGGAAGTAGGGGACGAACCAGGTGAAGAGGAAGGGCTCATCCAGGTTGTTGAAGACGTTGACGACGATGTTGTTGTTGGTGGTGGAGTTGATGTTGGGGCCGGGGAACTCTCCGTTGATGAGAATGGCCTGCTGAGGGATGCCCAGGGGGGAGATGGTGCCGTAGGTGACTTTCCACGTGAAGTAGATGTAGGGATCCTCGGCGCCGACGGCCGTGAGGCCGAGGAACGCGATGAACACCAGGAGCGGCGCCAGCAGCAGAGCCTCCCCCTCCTCCCTTCCTCTCCTCATGCTTCGAGAGAGCAGCGACGACAACCAATTCCGAGTCCTTCGTGGACGATCTGGTGGAGAAGATAACTCGTCTTCGGAACTCCGATGGAAGCCTCGGCGAGGGTGGGATTTATAGAGGCAGCAGCTGAGCGAAGGGCTTCCTGCGAACGCCCGTTCAACGGCTTAGTCTCCTTCACTCGTTCTCCGCGCTTGCCGTGTGGGAGAGGAGGAGGAGCGCGACAAGGGCGGGGAGAGATGGATTAGTGTCTTTCTTTAGGCATCGGTGGATCCGTGTTCTTACCGTGTCTGTACGAGAGAGAGAGAAGAGAGATAAGACAGTTACTGCTGGGTTCGAAATAAAGAGAGTTACAATTGGATAATTAATGAGTTATATGAAGTGCTCAAATCACCGAGTAAATAGATATAAATAATACTTGATTATTTTAGCACTTAACATAACATTAGTTATCCACTGTAATATTAATTAAACAGACATAAATAATAATCTTTATTACGATATTCAGATTAGTGTAGTATTTCGCAAGCAATACGTCTCGATGTACGACGTTATATGATGTTATGAGAATATATATATATATATATATATATATATATATATA